AAACTAATTTGTTTTTGCGTCTAGACTGGTAACGTACGGCTTTCCCACACTACTGGCTGTGTAAGGCAACATCAAAGTTAAGGGATTGATTTAAACATACAGACAACAGTACAACGGAATTCGTATGGGTATGGGCTTAGCGGTAACCTGGCAATGCTAGGGTAATATCGGTTTGGATGAAACCGCAGATCAGTTTCAGTCCATACCATTTTGCACTACTCTATGCAGTTATGGACTGAGGTAGGAATAAAATCTGCCATGTAAGTTTATACGTTGGACGGTAACAAGTGCATAAGTAGATTTGTCACGTTTATGGACGTGATATACAGTCCTAAATTACACTACTATATAAATAAGTCTCAGACTGCCTTCACTGCTAGCAGATTTTTGCACATAGTGTAGTGGAGGCATTCCGTTTATTTTATTAATGACCTGAATTTAGCTGCGATGCCATAAGTTGCAAAATTTGGTCTCGGAATAATCATACACCAGCTAATGTATTTCCGTATTCAGCTGGATGTTTGCGACAGTTGCATTGTAGCGTGTCAGCGATGCCAGCTCTCGAAACATTATGATTAGTAATAAATAATCTCAGCTAATAAAATGACATTAAATACATGCTTCTGCAACAGGTAATCAAATACGGCAGAGCCATGGCCTACATTAATGATTCTGGACCGTCTTCCTTTAGTCTATCAATGGACAATTATAAGCGATGTAAGATTGTTCATATGAACTGTCTCACGATGGGATTATTTCTCGATGGTATCTCTGTTTTAGATAGAGCTGCTGTTTATGAAAACGCTATTTCCCCTGCGTACTCATAGACATGAATAAAAAGCAAGGGCAAAGGCAATGCGCCTGTCACATCTGTATACGCAAAGATCAGATATTAAGAACATAGCACGATGGTTATGAACGTAACCACTTAGAGAGAAGTAGTGCTTGTTTTCTCTTTGGAGCATCAGCCTTTAAGCAATCTGGTTCCTTAATTCCAGGAAGCTGTGTTATTGTTGGCGTCTGCGAGATGACGCTATGCAAGCAGCTGATACTTGAAATACTAGTTTAATTCAGCAGTACTCCGCGTGCTGAGAATCCTTGTGCAGAATATTGTATTGTTCTCAACGTAATACTTGCGCTTACGTTGTACGTGATGGTGCCAATGGCGTATGGCGTAATGACGGATGCTACCTGTCCACAGAACCTGCCTATCGAGTTGACTGTACCGGTGTACCGCGGCGCAAATGAAACCATACTGGTGAGGTAGCCTGGGACAGTCCCGGCGAAGAGGGCGTTGGTTAGCACAAGGAAGGCGACGGCCAACACTTTGGTGCTGCAGTTCATGAACGACAGCGCGACCAAAAATATCGCCGGGCCAAACGTTCCTAAACAGCAGGATGAGACTATCAATGAGGAAATTTTACTACACACTTTTCTTTTAACCTGTGATAATTACCTTAACGCATAAAAAAACTATAACTATAAAATTATAACTTTAAGCAACGATTTACACATACTAGTTTTCGGGAGGGCTGATGCGGAATGACTGCGAATTTTGAATGAAAAGAAAGATGATCTTGAGCCTCAATCGTATAGGCCGTCAAATCTGAGTGATTAGATTGAAAACTTCTGTTCTGAGCAGTGAGCACGTAGATGTACGATCTGTTTGATTTTCAGATTTTGATCAAAATAGTAGTATCTTGGATAGTCATGACCAAAATGTAATTGATTGTCCATTCGCAGGCATCACTAATAATAAATGATTCTGCTATTCCACCTATCTGGTCATATAGCCATCATGGTTTAATGGCGAGGTAGATGGAATTGTGCGAAAGAATTTGCATAGTGCTTTTTTTACAGATAAAAACGATAATAATACTGAGTTACTTTGGAAGGTTAGAGATATTTCCATTTTAGATACTGCGTTTGCATTTGAAACGAAATCTGCGATCGGTGGGTGTTTCTACCAGTGATGTGTAGAAGTGTATCGTCAATCCAACGCTTAATAGCTGTTCGGGCGCATCATGGAAAGGCGTTTGGAATGACAAGAAGAAATTAGAGGTTGAAAGAATGGATTACGGCCAGATAAATATCCGCTATATCATGCCAGGAGCGAAATAGTAGAAAAAGGAAACTGTTTTGCACATTTGTAAAAGGAATAAACTACAGAAATGAAAGACTGTATGCTAGTGAATGGAAACGGTACTTTAGAAAACTTTGAGTTCAACGGCAGTATGCACTTGTTTAAGAACGGTGAATGAAAGTTAAGCGAAACATAGCTTTGTGGCATAATCTTGCAAATTCATCATCAAGCATTGGATCGAAAATACTGATTGTGATGACGTTTCTATTTCTTCACAAATTTAATATCAATGTGGTCGTCGTGGGCATGCGGGCAATGATCTATGTGTAGAGTACTGACTAGGCAGAATTATGGTAGACTATATTTCCCGTAGATGAAATTGTATTCGTAATGAACCCCCAAGCAACTGACTAATAAAGCAGCAGTAACTACAACTAAAAGATGGCATGTGGGATTGTGCACTTAAGACAAATCTCTCTAGAAACGACGTACCTTGACTACAAATTAAATTAAGGCTCACCTCCATTGCCACCGAAGAAAGTCTGAAAACGATTTTCATCATGAAAGCTTAGATAGTGTGATTGGGAATAGAAGCATATGTTTCACAGGCGGTGCAGTTTGATATCTGTAAAGGAAAAGAACATGTTACCGGAAACGGCTATGTCAAATTATGCACTGTGCGATCAGCTTTCTGAGCATAGCTGCATCAGCATTTACTGTTCATTTCATAGTGCCTGATGGTGCTATCGGTATTCCGCACTGTTGATGCTGTTGCATGTAGGATAGTTCTTTACTTACCTATGCTGTTGAAAATTTTGCAGATTACTGTCGAAGATAGCTTGCTGCATTTGTTCAGCCGATCAGCAATGACGGACATGATCATTTTTACGACCAGCTGTGAAATGTACGGGAGAGAATTGAGGATCCCGTTCTAAATTAATGGCACAGAAGTGAAACACTGGTTTACGTATCATGTACATCTGCCTAATGAATAGGCAGCTATAGTTACACTGCTCAAGCTGAGAAATAGCACGCTTCTGAAGTATATCGGCAAGAACGAACTGAGGGTCGTCGTCATTATTCCGGTTAAACACGAACAATAGATGGCCGTGAGCATGGGCGGGCAGAAGATCAGCTTTTTCCAAGGGACCTTTTTGAACTTTATCTGAAATGAATGCTTTTCGTTATGTGTGGTAAGTTTTCAAACGATAAGTTTCCTTGACTGTTCACCTTACGGTTGCGGACGTTCTGCGACGCGAGAGTGGATTGGATGTACAGCCTTTCTTTCTCGGAAATGATCGAGCTGGTTCCAGGGCTGTTCGAAACGATGAACATCCACAAAACCAATACAATCAGCGAAATCAGACCTGGATGAGCCGAGATATTCAGCTTCTTTGGCACATGTTCATCGTCTATCTTACCGTTTACGTAAAATATGGATGTCCAGCCGTCGAAGATTGCCCGGTTATCGCACAGCGCGGCGTTTAAGGGCATTCCAATGATCGACGCTAGCTGGTTACCTAAACATCGGTAATTCGGTTTGTTTTGAACTGATAAAGGGACATCAGTGGCATAATGTCTGACCGTGAATTTATCGATTGATAGAGGAGGTAAGAACTTTTATAAAATGATTTATAAATAATTAT